CTTTGGGATGCTGTGATTCAAGCGAAGCGTTCACAAATGAGATGGCGTCCAGCCATCCAATTGGAATGTTTGATCAGGCATCGCAACTGCTCGTCATACCCATCACGAGAAACCAAATGGAAATAGCAATGGGCGCATATCGACTCCGCGGTCTGCCATAAATCGTGTTAGCCACGCCATTAGCAAAAGCTGCCCAAGCACCAGACCAAACAACAAACAACAAAATACAAACGCACATGCCATTGAGCCAGAAGCAGAAGCAGAAGCAAAAGCTGAAGCTGAATCTAAAACTGGGGCGTAGCCATAGCCGTAACCGTTGCCGCAGTCGCCGGCCCATCTCTGGCAATGTGCACGCCTCAATGGCCGTAAACCAATTGAAAAGCATATTTGCATGCGCTGATGGACCGAGAGCCGTGAATCGAGAACAGGGAGCCGCATTGGGGCCAAGGCTCGGTTAGTTGCATGTTTCGACTTACCGGACTTGAAATATAATATCGAACCTAAACGGGAAGTCTGTTAGCAAGCGTCAAATGCCACCTCTCTCACCAAACACCAGCGACCAACCGCAGCCTTTGTCGTTTGGCCTCCGGCAAAATCACTCGAAATTGGGCGCGCACGCGATTTCCGAACATTCCGGATTACGTTTGTAATCGAAATACTTGAAGCAAATGGCAACATCGAGAGCCTAGATATGATGCCTACACCCCTTATCGATGCTGATGCCAGTGCTCGATGCCGATGCCAATGCTGATGCTGCGGCTGATGCTGATGCTGCTGCCGATTTCGTTGCTGATGTTGAGACCATGTGCGCCTCATAACAATGTGGAAAATTGTTTCCTGTATCAATTTCACACATTAAGGAAGCAATTTGATTTTATCGCTTCCTCATGACTTCACGTTCAATTATTGAAGAGTTTACGTTTGCTGTCTACGCCTTCGACTCCGTTTCCCATCTAACATTTCAAATGTGGCAAGATGTCCTTGGAAGCATTGTTTGCCAAAAAAAAAAAAAAAAAACAGAAACAGAGAAACAGAGAAACATTTTGCACATGTGTTTGTCAGCGCCAGTCGCATCTCAATTCGACTTTGTTCGTGGGCTTTAGGTAATTCTTTTCAATTGTTTCCATTTAAACTGTTTTACATGCCATTTTCATCGCTTTTATACCCTATGCCTTTTTCAACTGTTCAATAAAGGGTATAATATACTTGAGTTGTAAGTCCCAATTTGAATTGGAGGTCAAATTAGTTTAAAAATGGCACACTCCTTAAGAATATCTTCAAATTTGATAGTTTACTTTGCATTTGTAACTTGCTTTAATTCCAAAGATACTTGCATTTTTAAGTATTGATGTAGAGAATTTTTCGAAGAGCCTTAAGATTATGGACTTTCAAGCTGAATAATTTGAAGTTGCTGACATTTTTGCGATTTATTGTATAAGCTGTAGGACACATGCGTGCTCAACGGCCTGAGGCTCAAAATTGAAATCTCAGCTCGCACAAGGACATTAAGGTGAAACTGTTATTCTTCCAGCTGGTTGAAATTACTGTTTGCATACCAATCTATAGCCATGGGCAACTTAAGAGAGTTAGCGTCGATGGCTGTTTATTATTCGTGACATGTTTGGCGATGAGGTCGCTGCGTCTGCCACATACAAATGAGTCATTGTGGGGCACGAAGTCGCCTGGTTGTCAATGGGTCAATGGGTCACCAGCATAGCCAGTGTCATTTGCCTGAGAGTGGCTTGCAGCATATAGAAACAGTGAAGAAAAATTATCCCCATAGAAACTATGCAGCTATGTAAATTTACGAAGAAATTAAAAGCTAATTGCTGGTCAAGAAAAAAGTTGAAAGAATGTCAGCAAAAAGCAAAAAGATTTGCAATTGCCATTTGAAAATGCTGGTCATGCAAATTAAGCCGAATCCAAACCTCAACACAATGGCCAAGACCCTGAAACAGAACAAGAACCAAAACAGATCTAGAACCCGAATCATAGCCCAAATTGAAACACGGTCTAAGGGCAAGGAGACGACCAAAGTCACAAAAGCAGTTGATAAAGGAGCCAGTGACAACGATGACGACTGCTTGGCAGACAGAATTGGAAAAAAGTAGAAACTTTTAATTTGATTTGCAGCATTTTAATGGATTTTAATGAAACGCAAACAGGCGAAGATTGCGCTGCCGATGGCTGCAACACCAGCAGCGGCAGCAGCAGCAGCAACGGCATAGGCAACAGAACTTTGTCGAAAGGACACTTGAGCATTGCTTCGGAAAACTTTGACAAATGCCAAAGCGCGAAAAATGTACTCCACTTTATTTGGCCGCTTTTTTTTTTGGCAACTTAGAAGCAACCAGATCCAACTGAAGCTCAAACTGATGTGCACCATCCGGACGGAACTTAATTGAAAATGTTTAAAATTCCATGAAAAATTGCAGGCAACAACAGCAAAAAAAAAAAAAAAATGAAGAAAAGAAAGTTATAATGCAAAATTAATTTCAATTACTGGCAGAAACATGAATATGACAGCTCTGCATGAAAAGTTGCAGAAAACAGGCGGCACGACGACATCCTGCTAATTAAAATCACATAAATAACGCGTACCATATGACACTTCACTGAAATGATGCGTACTTTCCAAAAGTTCTGTTTTTCTTCATTTTCCACTTCTTCTTTTTTTTGCATATTTGATCAAAAGTCCTTGGCCAGATAATTTGATTAGCTGTCAACGCCCAGCCTCATTAAGTGCCCATCAGCAGTATCCTTTGTTCGCCTAATTTCTCTTTTTTTTCGGCTGGTCCTTTTGAGCTTGAAGCTCACTTTTTTTGTGTGTTCTGGTTTTTTTTTAATGGATTGGCCTATCTTAGCATTGCTTGTAAGTGAAATGGACACAACTCATGAAAAATTTAGTGGAAACTAATTGCAACAGCATTGAAATTAATTATTTAACCCTTTTTATTGTTTAAGCTTTTTGCCCATTGCCTTTTTGGCCCAGCCTTCGGCCTGAATTGAGCCCCGGCCTTATTAGCATAATTAATTGTGCAAATTTACGTACTTAAGCAAGTTATTATTTTAAATTAAGCAAGTACATTTCATCATTACCCAGCCAGAAGCTGCAAAACATAAAAAGTTCTGCATTTCGGTGAACCTGTGAAATAGCAAAAAAAATTCCTACGAGTTACCTGGGAAAACAACTATCTCTGGTGTAAATCATATAAAAAAAGACAAATAAACTGATTATATCTAACAAAAATACTATTAACATGGCTTTAGCCTAACCATATTTAAAATATGTCCTCTACAATCCTCTTCAGCTCGTTTGAAGAGAACTCATTCAAATTCAGCTTTAAGCCTTTATTTTAAGAGAACCACATATTTTCTAATGGTTGAAAAATTTCCATAAAATAAATCAATTTCCATTAATGAAATCCATCTGCCTGCAATTTTACAGATTATGAATATAATTGTTTTCTCGTTCCAATTGATATTTTTTGCCATAAAGCCAGACAGTCTCATAAATTATAAAAATTACTAATATTATTTGTCTGCATTTTGCATGAAGCACCGAAAAGTAAATAAAATAAAATTAATTCAGCATTGAATACAGCGCTTGAAAAGTAAAAAAAAAAGCAAAACAACAATAATAAACATACGCATTTTTTTGTTGAGTTTTCGTTTTTTTTATTATTATTAATTTGTATTTGAAATAAAAACAAGTTCACAACCAAAAGATGTGCGAATGAATTGGCGAATCAATTTATACATGTTGCCAGTAATACTCATATTATGCTATTTGTATTCGCTTTTTGTTTGCACTCAGTTTTATTTTAATTGCATGCTGAATAACAAAAAGTGATTAACAAGTGCCAGACTTTGTATTTGGTTTGCCTTTTCAATGAAATATATCGATTTACAATGTTTAATAAAACATCTTTTTTTTGATAATTTTTTGTTAGGCTTCCTTGAATAACTGATTTTTAGTAATTGATGACATCCGAATGCATTCCGATGCAGCTTAGCTTTAATTTACTCTTAAATTTGGCACTTGGCCCAACTTTTGTTGTCTGTCATTTTTTAATTTGATTTGCCCTTAGTAAATACTGGTTGGTTTTTAGTTCTATTTCTAGTAGCTCATATATGAAATGTTTGCTGCATATTTATTTAGTTACTCGTACATTGAATGTCCGCCCTTAATTTTTAATTTTGTCTTTTTTTATTATATATATTTCTTCTTTTTTTTTTTTTGTCTATTGCAGCATGATTTATAGTTTGTTTGCCTCTGCTTATGATGTTTAAAATTGTATTTACAGCTTTTTATGTTTACTAACCTATACATATCGCTATGTTCATAATAATTTTTACAACATTTGCATATTCCACAGAAAACATTTCATGTTGGGTTTTATTCGCTCTGCTGCGATTGCATTTTAAATATATGTATATATTTATTTATTTGTTTTTATCCTTTTTACGAAAAGTGTTTCATGTGCACAAAAATGTGTGTGCTTATTATAATTAAATTTGGAAAATGTTTACATGTACATTAAAAATTCGTGTTTGTTCAAGTGTGACTTATCATGCCTAGTAACAAGCAAATTGAACACCTTACTAATTCAGTTGATTTCATTGAGTGCAGTTTTATTTTAATTTCAATTCGAGTACTTATTATGCTGTAGATTAATATGTAATTGATTTGAAGACATGCAGTGAATAATCTCGGCTTCAAAGTGAATTCATTCCCAAAATGCCAATATACATATCCCTTTGAATGAAGCTTAAAACGAAAAAAGTGAGAAACTTACTTAAATTACAACAACAACGCATCAAACATATCAAAACTAACCGGCGATATCGAATTATATTCAATTTAACTTAAAATAACTTAAGTTTAATCCGTTAATTTATGAAATATCGCATTTTGACCCCCGTGTCGTGTGCGACTAGTTTCAAAGAAACAAAGTGAATTGAATTCAGTAGAGATGCATTTCAATTCAAATAATGCATTGACTTGACTAATAGATTTCCTGTTTCGATTTGAACTCTATTATACACTTAATATGCTCATTATAAGGTATTTATATGTATTTAGTGTGCACTTGAGAAATTATATTATATCTTTTGGCTCTCACATTGTTGCACTCTCTTCTTCAGACGTATGTACACGTGTCAATCATACTAACTTATTCCCTCCCCCATCACCTCCGCTACTCATTGTTGCATCATGGTATTAAACATCGTTAGGAGGATTTTCAAATAACTAACTAACTAATTGGTTGATATAGTTGCCAAAGTACGGCGACGCTGAGGCAATTCCGTGGCTGGTGTAAATGCTCATGATTGATGCGAACACCTTGTGAGCAGAATTATCACAAAGAGACTCGATACTAGACAGGTCCGTTTCCATGAGCAACTTCTGCATTCGAATGCCGCCGAGTCTGCAAAGAGATATGCATAGAAACAGGGAAACACACGGGACAAGGGCAGAGGTGTCAGTTTAGTGCATTGATGCATTAAAATTGTTAAATAAAAAATAGTTAAAATAGTTAAATATTTATTAATTAGATTGAAGAAATGTTTTAATTTTACAACTCAATTACAAACTGATAATATTAAAGTCGTTTTGAATTATAGTTATTTTTCCCAAATATGATGAATTTATTTCTAAAAAAAATAGTTTTCACGCAACAAGAAATTTGTTTATGCATTTTTTCAGACTGGTAGTTGACCAAGGTAAGTTCAAATAGAAACATACGGACGAAATGCTATATCTTGTTCAAAGCGAAAGTATTTATACCCATTGCAAGAGTGTCAGATAAGTATATTAAATTGTATGTGGAGCACTTACTTGTAACAGCATGCCGCAACATTTGATTGTTCAAATTATCGAATTGCGTAAGGGATGCACTGAGGGTCGTCTCACGCCGCAGCTCCGGGTAGTTCTCGATTTCCGCCACACACTTCAGCTCGAGTATCTTGCTAACCAGGTAGAAGCGATGTCCCTGCAGGTAGAAGTGCACCTGGAGTCGCTGCCGGCGCAATATGTAATCGTGGGCGGGTATGCTTGTATCTATGGTCGGCTGAAGCTCCCCCAACATGGGCTGCAAAGAGTTTTGGGGTTGGGTTGGTAGTTGGTTGGTTAAAAATTCGAGTGCTTTCTGAGTGCCAACCTGCTCGCCATTGATGTACCAAGTGAGCTTTGTGGCCAGACTGGAGTAGTCCGAGGCGCAAGTGGCACTGAGAAACTCCTCCATGCGATACATCGAGTTGAAGCCTTCGATTAGGGGGTCACTTTGTGGTAAGGCTACGGAGTGTACAAATTAGCCACTAATGGATTGAGTGTCTTATGCTCGATTAGCCCACCTGCCACCGTCATGTTGTCCTCCTTTGCTGCCAGCTTAAAGTGCGGCGCATCTCCGCTCACCTCGCACTTGAAGTTGCCCGTGGATTTGGCGCCCAGCAAACTCAGATCGACGCGGCACGTGGACTCGTTGCAAAAGTACTTGCCATCGAGCACTTGAATCCCGGCAACGGGAAATGTTATATACACCGGACGCATTAGTGGCGTATATCTACAACAAAAACGCAAAACAAAAAACAAAAATTGTTAAACCTGAATGAACATGTTAAACATTAAAATTTAATTGTGTTCGATTACCTAAAAAACTCCAATCGATCCTTGTACCATTTGACGGAGTTCAAGGTGTGCCCACTCATATCGTAGCTACAGGATAGCGTCACATTGTCCCGAAAATCAACAATTTCCGGCACACTGATATCCGTTACAAATAGCGCCGTAATACTCTGCATATCTGTGAAAGCGAACAAAATGTGAATACAGTACAACAGTTTGACAGCCACTGAAGCCACAAAAAAAAAATAAACGAGTTTTTAATTCATACAGCCGACTAACCAGGTGTTGGGCCTGAAACGTGAACTATGTTTCACTCCTGCCGGAGGGGGAGGAAAGCATGTTTTATAGTCACATACGGCGGCATCGAATAAATTTCAAATTTCATGAAATGAATATGCAAAATAGTTGTTGGCCAGGCAAACGAATATGAAAGCAAGCTAAGCGCAACAAACTGCAGCATTAGATATGGTTATACTATGTATGTGGCACATGTGTATATATGTATGTGTGTGTGTGTGTGTGCGGTAGCCAGCTGTGGTCTGTGAAGGTGGGTAGCGATAAGCGCATCTGCAACATATGCAACCAGATGTTGTGCACTTGCCACAAATTGATAAGAAATGCGAACCAGAAACTGTCAAGCGACACGAATAATTTGCATGTGTGTGATTTGTGTATGTGTGATATGTGGGTATATACTTTGCGTGTGTGTGTGTGTGTGTGTGTGTATTCTGTCCCTTTGTAATATACTTTTTTCATGACTAGGTCTAGTTGAAGTGGAGCTAACTAAAAGATAGATACATAGAGTGGGAAATAGAACAATCTAAGAAGTTTCTGCTGGGAAACTATTTATTCACAAAATATATGAAAATATGATTTAAACTTAAATCATATATATATATATATATACAGATAAATAAATTGCGCAACCTTATTCATCCTAAGTATAAGAAATCAAAATAAGCAATTGCCACCCTGGGATTCAAATCTGCATCAATTATATGCAGTTGCCTTATTTATTTTCTCGTTTAGACAACTCATCTAACAATAAATTAAACTACTAATTTGAACTTAAGCTCATTGAAACAGTGCACGCCCAATTTAAAATATTCGACTCCTTGATGGTAAATAATTTCCAATTATTTACATATGTAAATTTGTAATTTAAAACTTGCACTTTCAGGTTTACTCAACAAATGCAAATTTGCTGCTAATTAACCTGAACATTTTATTTGATGCTGGCAAGCAGATTTACCAACTTGTAACATATATTTAGATATATACATTTATATATATATATATACTCCTACACACACACAGCCACAGAGGCTACGAGTTTTTGTCTAGCTGTATAAATTTGCATATGAATTTGGCAAAGGACGGGTGATAAATTCATTTAAAGATGCCTAGAATTTCATGTAAATATGCGACTATATAAATAGATAGAGAATATATGTATATATTTTTTGTGGGTACCTGGCACAACTTAAGACTGCTGATGTGTATGCTACAAAAATAATACTATTTGCATAGATATCGTACAATCTAATAAAATCAAAGGATCCTGCAGATATGCATATTTTATGTACAACAATTTGACTAACTGAAGTCAAACATTGATAAAGTCTTTAGCTTACTTATTAATAATGCTTTAGACGTTGTTGCTGCAGCAATTGAAATTGATATTGAATGCCAATGTGTAATTCTATTAGCCCAGTTAAAACTAGCTAAGCGCGCTGAGCACGAGCTACCAACAAAGCTAGCAAACTAAGCGTGAAATATAAAAACATGTCGAAAGCTGCACAAACTTTTTGTGGCACATCGCTACGCTCTGTGTGAGTGTGTGTTGCTTGAATCCCAACACAAAGCCCCATGCCATGTTCGCCTTTTGTGAAGCATTTGAATGAATGGCCCCAAATACGCCCCGAATGTATTCAGAGCTATACGTGAAATATGTCAGCGGCATTCAGCTAACCGCAAAGTTTTCCAATGCTCCACCCAAGAGGTTTCCATTGCCACCAAATAAGCAAAGAATGAGCGAGAAATGCGAAAATTTTCTAAACATAAACTGAGTTAATGTTCACTGAGAATCACACTTTCTGAAATCTGAAATATGAGTTTTAAAATAGTTGCAGCAGTTTACTATAAGTTTTAATTAATACGCAATGTGCAAAGTTTTTGATTATACTTAAGTGTAAAACCAATTTCATTTCGAATAACACAATCTGGGACTTAAACAATGGCCAAGTGCACCACAGAATGACAGTCAATAAATATATGCACAATCACATTTAAATCAACTTCATTTGGTATAAAGTTTTCAAGCGTTAGCATTTGCATTGATATTGACCAACCAAATATTTGGTTAACTTGTGGAGCACACAGCTGAAAGCCGAAGTCGAGGTTGACGTTGACGTCAGCGTTAACGTTTGCGTCAAATTGCCATCAGGCAAATGGCAGCTCATTTAATGCGCTCCAAATTAATTGCCCCATTGCCATGGGCAATTTATGTGCCAGGAGGCGATGGGGTTGCCTTTGGCAGGCTGCCTAATTGCAAACATTTCCGAAATACAATTTAACTTAAACTGCACTCAAGCTGCTGTGCAACAAGAACTCTGACTCAAAGTTCTGCCAGTGCAAAAGTTGTGGCGGCACAAATTACCAAGTGCCAAGAGGCAGGCCGCGAAAGAAGCATCAAAAGCAAACTGCCAATGAAACTGCAGTTGAAATTATGAGCAAAGTCATTAAATGCGCAGCCAGGCTCGAAGGCTGACAACTGGCCGAAAAGCTTCGTCAATATTGATTTGCGGTTAACCAATGAAAAAATAATAATACGAAAAATAATTTGATTGTCGGCGAAACGAATATAAAAACCAGTCCAATAATCAGTCGCAGAAATTGTGCATCACGCATACGACACTTGGTCAGCCGGGATGTAATTTAAACTGCTTGCTAATTCGCCGTAGGAAAGCAGGCAATTTAATTGCAGAAGCGAGCAAATATCACATACTTACCAATTAAAGAGCAGCAGAAGAAAAACAGCAGCCAGCCGTAATCCATTTTTTTTGTTGTTTACTCTCCGAACAATATTAATTGGAAAAGCCTTGCAGTCTGCACTATACAGTTATTGTTATTATTGTTGTTGTTGATTTTATTTATTTCACTGCACAGAAAAAAATATAATTTAATAATATGAGTCATATATAAAAAAAAATTGTGACTTTGTTCATGTTTCTCATTTGTTGATGTTGCTCTTTTGCAATCTGCTCGTCGAGTGAATTGTTTAATATTTCAATACCAATCCTGTTGGCATAAAGACCAAATTGAAATGCAGCAGCTCGAAGCCAAGTTCACCGATAATTGAGTGGCATGCCGACTGTGTTCAGCAAAGGAGCAAAAGAGCAAACAAAAAACGAAAAAGATTGTTGAATAGCAAACGGAATTAATTGAATGCAGTGTCAAAGGCGCGCTAGACAAAAAAAAAAAACAAATACAAAAATAAAATACAAGAACATAACAGAATTCTATCTTCTACTCCACTGATATAGCATAAGCACGATTGCAAAGTCATGCAGAAAAGTTCAAAGGATGTGCTCGGCGTTTAGCTGTGTCCTTATAAATAAATAACAAACATTCGAAAAGTAAAGAAAGGCAGAATGTACGAAAGAAAAACGCACTGCTCACTGGTGTGCTGGATGTGTGCAAATCTTGGGGAATGGCCAAATGGAGATACGGATGGAAGATAGATATGGAATTGGAGATGGAATTGGTAATGGGAATGGGAATGGGAATGGAGGTGGAGGTGGGAATCGAGATGAAGGTGGGAATGGAGATGGAAAAGGGAAAGTACAACAACAGAGCAGACGACATCAAAACAGGAAACAAGCATGCTGCCAGCTGGGCGTGGTAGCTGCCCCCACTCTATCCCAATCTCTCTCTCTCTCTCTCTCTCTCTCTCCATTTCTGTGTGTTTGTGTGTGTTTTTGTCAACTTAAACAATTTAAATGCCAAATACATGCGAATTGATGTGATTAACATTTGAGAATACGGAAATGGCATTCTGTTCTCGCCTCTTACACTTTGGGTACACGACAACTGAACCGGAAGCTCCGTGCTTCACATCTTCATATCTGTTGTATTAATACTTTATTATTTTTGATTTATTTGACTGTTAAGGAGCGCGTTTCTTTGAATTGTCACTTTGAATTCACAAAAAATTGATTTCCCTTGTGCAACTGCAATTCTGAGTAGTTTATTTATTATTTAATTCTTCATTGACATTTTGTTTTTTTTTTTTGTTTTCAGATCGAACGATTTTGTTGGGCAGGACGCAGCCTTTGCTCGAAAAGTATCTCCGCACGGCTTCAAGTTTACGAACAGACTGAAGCTGCAGCCGCAGCAGCAGCGCAAGATTCACAACTCCTCATCGGCCTCATCGGCTGCGTCGGCGACGTCGTCGTCGCTGTTCTCGTAGACATCGCTAATGTTGTAATTGTAATGTTGATGTCGGCGCTGCTGCCTATGCTCAGCATCCGTTTCGTAAACAGCTCGGTTTACACGAAGCGCGCATCGGCTCAACGCTCAAGAGATGCTTGGAGCGAAGAGAGCACAAAAGAGAGCGACAACAGCGCATTTGTAGCTTTGTGGCCGACTGTTAAGTGAGTGCCAGCAGTGTACTGCTGCTAACAGTCTGCTGCCCAATGTTAACAGCTGTTTAATTTAAGCAGCATCCCCAAAAACTGTTGTTGTTGGTTTTTTAATTTATTCGGATTTTTATTGTTGGTAAAGCCATTAAATAATATCGAAATTTCACTATTTTAATATATGTTAAGTCAACGGTAGTGGCTAGTTAAGCTACGACAATCAAAAGTATTTTCGGGCAGCTGCAGCTGCTTGTGAAATTTATATTTAGATATAAATAATGTGCTTTGGCAAAAAGAGCAAAAACAAAAATAAAACAAAAGCCTGCAGCAGCAGCAACAGCAGCAGCAGCAGTAGCAGCGTTGACGGCAATGAAGCCAGCACAAAGTCATCTTATCATTTCATGAATAATGCAGGGATTTGTTGGGGACACATGACTGGAATTTTACGCAAAAGTTGTGACGATGTTGCTACTGCTCCTGCTCCTGCTACAGCTCCTGCTGCTTCTTCTTTGCCAGTTAGGAACCGCCAACCAGGACGCTGGCTAACACTATGTTTCTTGTTATTATTGTTGTTGTTTGTTACACTATAACTGCTCGCTGGTTAGCTTCAGTTCACCCACCCCTCCACTCATAGCCACCCCAGACACCCCCACACAGCTGTTCACTCTTTGGGCTTGGCTGCGGCAATCAACAGAAAATTGCAGATTTTAAATTCAAAGCATTTTCCTCGTAGTCGCTTTTAAGCTCTCACTTCTTCTCTCGTTACTCCCAGGCACAACGCGGGTAAACCTTTCCGTTTTCCTTTCCCCGCCCTACTGTTTTTTTGTGCTGTGCGTGCATATAGCAACTTAATTTGAACGAATAATTTCTGATGCTAAAATATGAATATTAAAACAAAAGCAATGACATGCAGCTCTGCTGTGCAGCATGTGCTGCAGCTTCAATTTTGCAACGCTTTTGAAGCGGAAGTGAGTGCTGTAAATGGCGTTTCCGGTGCGCTTCGACACATGTGTCTGTGTGAAGACACTGCAGCTACCTTCTCACAGGCTCACATACTTACTTTATTTTCTGCTGCTCCCACTTCTTTCACTTTTTTTTATATTTTAATATTTACCATCTTCCACGCCTGCGACGTGACTGCGAAAACTTTTCGCATGAACAAAAAATGCAGCAAGGACAAAAGTGCTGGCTTTCACTATATGCGTTTGCTTGTGTGTTTGCCGCTGTTTGAGTGTAAATAAAAGTTTCGCTACAAATAAATCACATATTTTAACAATTCATAACTTTAAGTTTGCTTTATGACATTCGCTCTTACCGCGTGTATTACAACGCTGCGTATGCGCCACATTTGCAATGCACATACACAAAACTTTTCGCGGTTGCAACATGGTTGTCAATAATTAATGCCTGCCCAGCACTTCAACGTAAAAGTTTGGTTAACAAAAAAATAAATATGTATACATAATATAAAGCATACACCAAAAAACTATGCTCAAAGAAAAATTCTGTTTAAATTGAATTAAAGATATTTTCAGTAGTTTGATAAGCATGTTTAAATAAACTATATAATAAAGAATATAATTATCTGTTGGCTAATGGTTATCTCTTGATGACCAAGAAGCCAGAACCTCGCTTAAACATTAAGTAATACATTGTAATTGACTAGATAATTCATAGACCGGAGAGTGCAGAACCTATAATTTTAAGCAACTCACATTTTAAATATTCGTTTAAAAGGGGAACCAGTGCATGACCAATTTACTTGGACACATTTTTTAAAGCTTACCCTTAAACTTTTCTACATATGTTAGATAAATATGAAAGATGAAAAATCAATCAGGTCTGTGTATGAAGATAACCCTAAATATATTAGCTTAATCCATCAGCTGTGTGTTGCATGCCACGACAGAGGCAATTGAGTTAACGGCTTCTAGAGCTCCGTGAGGGGTAGGGGAGGGGAGAGGCTGTCGTAGTCGTCGCCGCCGTGCAACCTTAATGAAAAACTAAATTGTCAATCAGCCATGAATTGAATGAAATGAAGTGTAAAATTACAAATTTATCCAATTTGCAATTAACTCAATGAGAAGATACCATTTTTATCTTCTTTTTTTTTGTATTTTATTTTCAAATTATTCCGATGGAACGCACATGCAACGACGGCATTCGGTGTTTGGTGTCGTTGTGCTGAGTTGAGAGCAGCGCACTTTCACTCTGTGCCCCGACAGCAACAACAACAACAAGGGCAACAGCAACAGCAGCGTCAATGATATCAACAGCAACACTTTGCGGTTGCACAACAACCGCTGACAACATGGCATGAACATCAGCAGCGGCATGGGTATGGAGGAGAAAGTAGCAGCGTAATGGTAACTACTGGCTCCAAGGGAATGGACGAACAAATGGAGCAAGCTGCAAAGTTGTGAACCGGGCTAAGTTTCGCGTGCACCTTGCAGCTGAATCGCGTTCGATGCCTTGTCCTGAGCTGACCTGTCCTGTGCTGTTCATTGGGATCTGCTGCAAGAGTGCAAGTTTAATTGCATTGAGTGTAACTAGTTAATGGCTGAAATTGCAAATTGAAATGGTGACAAAGCAATTGAGGTCAAAAACTCCCCAAACAGCAGCAGCAGTAGGAGAGGCAGCAGTAGCAACAACAGCAGCAACAGCAGCGACAGACGAGCGCTAATTACAAGCGGACATTGCTGGGCAATCGGCATTGGGGTCATTTGGCAGTTGTCTGTAGACCGATGGAATATACAATGCAAAATAAAAATATTACATCAAATGCAACAGCAACAGCAGCAGGAACAGCAACAGCAACTGCAACAACAGCAACAGATGTGAACAGTGTGAAATGTCAAAGTTGCAATGCCACTAAAAACATTTACAAATTGATTTTTTGTTGCCACAGTTGAAATAGCAAAAATATATATTTTTGCATATGAATGGAGGATAAAACCGCAACGGGACTTGATTGCCAATTGCACAACTACACACACACACAAACACAGACAACACACACACACAGACAACACACACACACACACGCACACACACCAAAAGACACACACACACACACGCACAACTAATGCATTTAATAGCACATTTTTGGCACAATAATATAATGTCCATAATAAAATGGCCATTTGCATGTTCATTGCTAGACTCCCGACATAAACGCAAATAAATGAATGTAAAAATTGCCACGTCACTGCTAGTTGTGGTTGTTACTGCAATTCTTGCTGTTGCTGTTGTTGCTGTCGCTGTTGTTGTTGTTGTCGCTGTTGCTGTTGTTGTCGCTGTTGCTGTTGCTGTTGCTATTGCCGTCATTGCTGTTGGGAAATTAACATTCGATGCTTAGTTGACCAAAACTAAAACGTGTCCTAATGCATAGACAATTTTTATGCGATGCCATCGCTGCGTATACGCAATCCCACAACATTTATGCCGGATTAATGATGGGGTCAGCGGACTCTGTGCGCTCAAATTCAAGAATTTTTAAATACATTTCATGTGGCATTCTGTGAAATATTGTCATAAATTGCATATATTTATTTCCAATATTTAAATTACTTGTAGTCATTTTCAATTATTTTCCCCTAATTCGTATTTTGAATACCTTTTGTATTCCCATCTGTTTATTTTTATTCCATCTTTTGGGCATAAGTTGTTGGTAAAAAGCAAAGATTGGCACCACTTCCACGTGCAACGGACCCCAATTAAGCTACGGATTATGAACTGTGTGAGCAAGACTTGCATTAACATATTGCTTCAGAACGTTCAAAAATGCAACGAGAATCGTTGAATGAAAACCGAATGGCAATAAAAATGAAAATCAAATGATGTACATGACGAACATTTCAATCAATCAAGAGGTGTGAAAATTATACGAGCTGCGTTCAGAGGAAACGGAAATTGTACCGCATTGTGTGCACTTGCAGGTGTACATATACGTGTGCATGTGTGTGTGTGTGTGTGCTTCAGGTGTACATTGCAGGCGATCCGAGTTGTTGTAAATGGCACTTGATTTCGATATTTCAATCAGCGATGCGCGCAGTTTGTTAAGCTTTTTGCATATTTTATGCAATTTGAGCGACTGGCCACAAAATATCTGCAGGCAGCTGCCACAGCTATAGCAGCTACAGCAGCTGTAGCAACAACATCATTATTAGATATGCCCGCCTCATCAGTCCTCCAGTGCTGACATTAAATCATCGATTCAGCAAGTACCTGTTAAGAGCTTCATCCCCATTTTATTTTTCGGCGGCTTCACTTCGCTTTGCAGTTGGCCAAATGTCCAGGTTCAGATGCCGCTTACAGGCTCAGCACTTGGACCATTCCCATTTCTATGCTTCTCTCTCTCTCTCTCTCTTTCTCTTCCACTCTTTCCCTCTCTGTCTATCGTTCTATCTCGTTCAGAGTGTCTCGTTGTTTTTGGTTGCTGTGTTCAGTTGTTCGCCTGTGCATATTTTGAATGCGCGCATTTCGATCACGTGATTGAGATTTTTACATTTAAAACGTGACTGAAATATTTTGCAACTTCGTCACTTCAATGCCTACCCCAGGACATGGGACGCTGAACCCATTTCCGCCTCTCAACTTGCAATGGAATTTATTCAATACTCCTTCAATGATGTGCCCTGTGGCCGGACCACTCGAATGTGCCTGCCTTTTATTATTATTATTTTTATGTTCTGGTCTACTTCCATTTGTGGGAGCCCCATTCTCCTGCCCATCAGGATTATTGGGATGGGCTCTTTGTCAGTGCTGCTTGTACCTTTCTTTCCATCTGGAACTTTTTTCAATCAGCAACAAATAGCAAGTGTTAACTAGATTTAAATAATGCATTACCCGCCACATACTGTCTACGCCGGAGCGTGACTCACTAAGAGACTTTTAAAACAGATATCTATCTAAATATTTCAGACAACCCAGAACAACTGGCAGTAGTAATAACTGCATTGTATTTAATTTATGCATTCAATTTGTATTCGAAAGTCGCACATACTATAAGTCCACAATTAATTGTTCGATAATTTGTAAATTGATGCTGGAAATGCTCGAAATGCAGGTCATTAAAAAGGCAAAGTTTTAAAGCAGACTTATTCAGCATTATAGCAATTTTGAATATATTTAATATCACATTTCTATAGATTTAGAATTGCTTAAGTCTTACTAATTTACAAAATTCTATTGTGTGTAACGTTTATAATTTGGTTTATTTGGATTATAGTACAATACAATATATAATTGCAATATAATTGGTGGCGAAGTAAAACAAAGAGAAAACAATTTCGGAAGTACCTTGTGATATATTAACCGCATATGTAAGGAAAATCAATTCTCAAATCATTTTATTCTCCATTATTTACTGAATACAAATTATTTGAATAAGTATTGGAATAGCCTTAAATAGTTTTCGTATTTCAGTGTCTAATTATTATCGATCGGTTTACGGGACAAAAAACCACAAAATTAATCTTGTGTGAGTGCCACTTAAATTGCATGTGGTATGCTGTAAATAAGTTTAAATAAACTTAAATTCACACTATTCATCAATTTGAGAAAAACAAAATACTATCTGGGAAACAGCATATAAAATAAATAAATTCTAAATCGAAAGGCTAAGTTCATAATCTAATTACTGATTGAGAGTTCTTGGCAATGTAAATTTTTCCTCTCTCCAACTTATACATAATTCACAAAATAACTCAATGTGCTTGTCGATTTGGCAACACATATTTCTGGAGTATATTTATGTATAAATTTGAGATGCACTTCAGCCGAGTGTGAAAACTGCAAGCCAATAAAAAGCATTTTCAACTATTAAAAGTATAAAACAGCTCGACAAATGACTCAAGAGAGACAGAGTCGAAACTACCGAGTCTCATGTGGCAGGCAATTAATTGAAATTGGTTTTTTGTGGCTGAAGACGACAACAAGAACAAAATAAATGGCAATTGAAACACTTTTGCTGCGGTGTTGTTGTTGTCCTTGTTGTTGTTGTTTGAGACACAAGTTGGGCAATTCACACATTTCACACAAGTTGCCAAAAAAAATTTCCAACTTAAATAATCAAAAAAATAAACAAAAAAAATCAAGTAGTGCAGGAATTGCTGAAGCAGTTTGCGAATATTTTACAGACTGTAAATAAAATTTAATGAAATCATGCCACATATACATATAAAGTTGTAACTTTTTGATTTGCAACGCAAGCAACGATTGCAGCTAGCTTGTTAGCCAAGTCTGTGTGCCACAGTTTGGGGCGCCTCCTTCACAGGCTGCGTAATTTCAGCATTGGCAATTAAAATTTCTTATGAGTTGCTTGCAATCAGTGCACAAGTTGCGACTGCAACTGCCACACACACAACGACACACACACAACCACACACACACAAGCACACACACACAAGCACACACACACAAGCACACATAGACACATAGACACGCATAGGCGACAATCTCAGCTGGTGTCTGCATAATTTAAAGCATACATTTAGGCTGGCAGCGCTCGACTGCTCAAACCGTCCTCAGCGCCTGCTGTGACAACTGTGTGATAAATGCCTGGTACACCAGCAACACATATACATACAAACCCACACACACACACACACAATCACGCACACACACACACAATGCACAAACAATTTTCAGACTTTGCCATTGGAGCAGGTTTCCATGTTCGGTTGCAATGATTGCCGTCTTGGATTTTGCATGCCAGCTACCATTTTATTATGGGCCCAGCCCGGTCCGCACTGCTTTGCACTTAAATGCATATAAACTAGCAACAAATGCTTAGATAAAACTTGTTACTTGTTACTTTTGCACATCTCGGGCAAGAATTTGCGAGAAATGCGCTCTTGCGTTCTGAGATATCAGGAGTTGTGGCTTGTTTTGCAGCAAAAATAAAACAGAAAACAGAATTTCTTTATTGGATGAAACATGCATTGTGTATAAATAGAACATGAGCCGGACTAAAGACTAGTTTATATTGTTAATTGAGATTGAGAATTAGATTGAGCGCTGGCGCCAAGTTTACCCTTACATGGCATAGGCGCGTCGCATCATCAGGTCAAAGTACATATCGTTGTCAATTGAGGCGCTGATGGTGGCATAATAGTTGATGAACTCCTCGTGAGTAATCTAATAGAAAGAAGATACGTTATGACAAATGCATATGAGGGAAGTGGTTTCATGTAAATACCTTGCCATCCAGATTACCACGACCGCCCTCGAAGTTGTGCAAGAAGTCGGTTAATATCTCATCCTCAGTCATCTCGCCACTCTGATACTTGGGATGCTCCTTCACCGAATAAACGTTTTTGAGATCGGCAATGGTTATAACCTCATCGCCATTCTTATCCATTTTAGCAAAAGCCAGATCTATAATAGACAGGCGACTTTGGTTCATCGCAGGCTGTAAAACGCATTTTACGTGAGTAAAGTTAAGTTTTTGAATATCTTGAATCTTAAACTTACACGTAACTTGAGCAAAAACTCTGTCATATTTATGGAGCCGCTACCATCCTCATCGAAGCTAAATTTAGAGCAAAAATATTGGCAAACAATTAAAGTGTTAATTAAGTTTGATGATGATTGACACTCACGTATTAAACATCTGCTTAATTTCATCATCGGTCACATCGAGACCAATGTCCCGAATTCCGCTGATAAATTCCTCCTCATTGAGCGCCTTGCTACCATCATCGTCCATGGCGCGAAAAGCTCTAAATAAGTAATTCAACATTAAATAAGTAGTAATGTCATTTAATGCCCATCACAAAACACAGCTCACCTGCCAAGACCCAGAATGCCTGTTGCGCCACGGCTAAAGCAAAGCAAACGCAACTTGGTAATGGGATCCTTGTCAGCGCCATCTGTCAGTTCCCTCAGCGAATCGCTAACCAATTTGGCTTCCAGGGTGTACAGGTCTCCATTTGAGGGCTGTAAGCAATGCAAAGCTAGACCAATCAATATTTCAAGCATTTACAATTTTCCAACAACACTGTGCAACTTGGTTTTGGTTGGCCAGCAATAGTTTTAAGCTGCATTAGGAAGTTACGAAAGTTTAAATATAATAAGCTCAGAATTATGGAAAAGTTGCTTTCAAATGTTGCTCACTTCACAGTTAAGCTATAAACAGTAGTCATTAATGTATTTTTAAATTATTCCAGATAAACCTTTAGCAAATCTCGTGCAATAACCCCGTACTGTTGCCCACACATAAATAAATGACTAACGTGCAACTCATTGCGATTGTTATGATTTAAATGATTGTGTAAATAAAACTTTAAGTCGCAAATAAACTGAGGGGTGTGTGTGTGGCAAGTGCGAAATACGGGCTAAGGGAAATAACTTGACGCATTCGAATGAATCATCAAAAAAAAACTCAGGTGATCTTGGCAAGTAAGTTGGTCTTTTACCAGTTTTTTTGCTTTCAGCGAAATTATTTTCATTTTTGTGAAAGCATTTGAGTGCAATTTGTTTAATTGAAGCCCAAGGTGAAGGTCGTCCGTCGTCGTTTAGACACACAAATAAAACTGATTAAAAAAAAAGGGGTGAAAAAAATGCAAGCCAGGCAACTTACATCCATTGCAGCAAGTTGAGGTTTTTCAATGGCGCTTTTCACTATTTCAGCAAGTGTACAAAAATTGCCTTTTACTGCGGCTTTGCCTTCTCTTAAGCGAATGGATAGCTCCAAGATACTTGTTACTTTAGCGGCTTTGAAATCCAAACTGAATACGAAACACTAAAAAAAAAACAGCGACGGCAATGAATAAACAGCAAAGCGCGCGTAGTCAGACAGAGAGTGAGAGAGAGATAGTGGGGGAGAGAGTGAGAGAGAGAGTGTGTGGGCATGGAATGAATGGGAAATGAAATATGCACTGTGGGGCTTAAAACTAGTTACTTACTTACAAACATGTATAGTCATGTAGAGCAGACAGTGGGCTGGCCGCACAGACACCGACTGCCTCACTGACTGACTGACTGATTCACACATTTCGCGAACAGCATGCTCTCTCAATCTAACCCACTCTCTCTCTCTCGCTCTCGCTCGCTTTATAACTAGATGGGGCCACCTGTACTGGCTTTTGTGCCCTGCCGCACTGGAAAACATTTTATTTCAATTAAAGTTGCGGGCTTGTTCTGTTCACCGACCGACCGACCGCCCGACCGCCCGACCTCCCGTCTATCCCCCACTCAGGCAATTTGGTGCCCCTGGTCTGGTAAATGTTTGCCAGAGACAAACATGTGACGCTGTTGAAACGCCAGCGAGACACAAGCAAAAACAACGTATGCCTCAGCTGACAAATTGGCGTAGATAAAAATGAAAGCACCTAAAACTATGCAATGCCATCTGCAGCAAATAGACGATGTCAAAAAGGCTGCTAATACTTTTGACACTCTCAAAAAGTTTTTATGGCTAACCTAATGCACTTTAACATATAACAAAACTTTTATCTGGTCCAAGCTAAACATCATTATCGAAATAATATTTCATAGAGCTGGACATTAAATAATTAAGTCCAAATACATTTTGTCAATAAAGTAAGACACAGTATGCTAAACAAATTCTGATTGAGATAAGATACAATTGTGTAATAGCATTGAAAGAGTTCATTTGAAGGCTATTTGGTTGATGTGTTTCTTCATTTGCATATACCCCCTGTCAAGGGCGAACATAAAATAGACGCTTAAAATAAGATAAAATGAGTTAGACATAAATAAGAAATAGTTTAAGAAATATGACATAAAAAATAAGCTGACCACATTTCTGTATATAAGTACTCAATAATAATTTTCAGAAACGCGGAAAATATTTTGGTATTAAGTCGATTCTATGTCAAAATTGAACAGGCTCTCCAGGCCAAAAATGCATTTGCATTTTGTCCACTTATCGGTAGAAAAAAACAAACTGAGTATTGCAAATTCTAAATGAGTTTGTGGCATGTGTGTATGTGTGTATGGAGGTGGGGGAAACGGGAACAGTTGACCATATGCTGGTTATTAGAAAAGCGGTAAATTTAGTTTCGATCAAAATAGCATGTGTCTAAAATTGTACTGGTTTTCCCTGGGTATGTTGGCATATAGCTTTTCGTGATATGGTTTGTGGTAGAAATTAAACTCAAAAGTCAAAATTCTCGACAGATTTTTGTCATATATATATGCATCAAATGTGTGGCACCCAAAAATACAAAGAGAATAAATAAATTGCTTTGAGTTTAGTAGAAAATAAATGTATAACAACATTCACGTAACTAATGTTGAACTGGAATCATTAAATCATTGCATTTACCTTATGACCTCTAAAGCCAAATGGATATGGACTGTATTCAATTGGAAATCCACTTATTAAATTGTTGAGTCTGCTCAAATTTGAGAGGGCTCCGTAGTTTGCCAAATTATATACATTGCAATGTCCCATGTGACCCGCGTGTGTGTGTGTGTGTGTGTGAGTGTGTGTGTTCGTGCGTGCAACTGCTTAATTGAATGGCGGATGGCATGTCCTTTGGCCATTAAGCTGACAATGATGCAGGTGAATGGAGTGCAGTGTCATGTTGGAGCTCTAATTATAGTTTGAAAACTATATTCGAATGCATCAACTATCATTTGAATAAGATCAATACAAATTATATATCATTACGATACTATACACGTTTTCAATGTTTTTATTCGCCACAAAGTGGGTCACGTATAATGCTTGTCAAGCATTTTGCTATTTAACTGATTAATTGTGTTTACCTTGTGTCTGCGTCGCCAGCTCGTCTTGTGCGTGGCCCCGAAGAATATGACTGCCCACAAATTGAAAGCGAACTGACGCCGACAGCATTGGCAAGCGGCCCTTGACTCATATTTGGGCCAGATGGGCCAAGCAACCTGGCAACAGGCGCAAACGGGCCACAACATTCAAAGCGGCCAATGACCGGCCCTGTATAGTATTGTCGCAGGGATTGCGACCAAGCGTCCATATCCATTTAATTATAACAATCAATACAACAACAAAAATATAATAATAATAAGAAAAACTGAATTAAATGGGCTGAGACTTTTTATAACAAGAAATAAGGGACTAACCAAGGGTCGTCGACTTGTAGATGCCCTGTAGTTAGATCGAAAATCCAAATATTTACTTGCTTCGTAGTCGTAATATCATATATGAATAGTGAAATAATTACATTTTGTGATAAACCAATTTTCTCTCTACAAATATGATACCTAAAATAAAAACATGTAATTGATTTTGTGTATGCAGTTAAGTAACCTCAATCGGCACAGAAAAATACAATATGTAAAAAATAAATTAAGTTAAAAAATAAAAGTTTTTTTTAAGTTTTTATAAATGTTTTTAAATGTTTAATAACATTAAAAAAACCAAGATAAGTGTATAGGAAGTGATAGTTCTGGGAACACATAATTGTAAAGTTAGCTCAACATTTATCGCATGGATTGGGGAATTCTCAGAACCAAATTAGTCCAAAACTATAAATAAAATATTGTGTCCAAAGCAATAATACAATTAAAAAATATTTTAAAAACCGTTTTCGACAAACTTAATGTAATATCACTTGCTTTAAGTTAAATGTAAGCAGTTCATAGATATATTTATATTAACTATGCCACTCAAAGTTTTACGATCTCAATGCACGCAAAGTGGATTTAAGCCACGTCGACAAAAATCAGATCGCTTTGCTCCGCTTCGAGTTGGGCTCTGGTAAATTCCTGTGAATGTAAGCCTATAGTCCACCTAGAAAGATTTTGGTTCGGAGGGCAAAGTGACGTGTCCGTTGGGTCTGTTGACATTGTCATCGCATCAACTGAACCTGAACTCAATCAGTGAATCAATTCACAATTCGCTGATCAAAAGGAAACAATCATACGCATTTGAAGTGTCAGAAATTGCCGAAAGCGAGTCAGAACAGCAGAAAGACACTCAAGTGGAAGGGGCAGGAGCATGGGGCATGGCACAGAGACATCGGCAGACGCAAGCCAGGCCAATGCTCAGTCACAGACACAGCAACAGCAACAGCAACGAGCTGAGTTCTTTTGCCGCTGCGTTGACACATGCAAAAGCTCCAGTGTTGCTGGATAGGTTTATCTATTTGTGTGTGTGTGTGTTTGTGTGTGTATCTGTGTGTGTCTGGTTGCCTTGTATGTATTTTCTTTTAATCAATTTATATGCAAATAAGTGAAATGCTTAACTGAATTTCGAGCTGCCACGCAACCAAAGCCAATCCACTCATCACACCCCGCTCTCGCCCTTATTGCTGTTGCGTGTAGCCTTTTGGCAGTTGCTTGATTGAAAACGTTAAACGCATTGATTAACGAAAGGACGAAAGAAAAGCAATGTGAAGAACGTTTAATTGAACTGATTTTTATTAAATTTCTTTGCCAAGACGTCTGATTGCAGAAACCACACAGCTCTCTTCCCCTTCCTCCTGCAGTCTATCTCTCTCTCTGTCTGTTAGACTTCCATGTTTAAAATACCAAATATTTACTTGGCCAACACTTGAGCAGTTGGCTGTCTAAGTCATTTAACTAATATGCCTATCAAGGCACAAACTAAATCAAGTCAAGAGCAAAACCATTTCGATATTTGCATTTGGCCTAATACGACCACCTCTCTCCCCTTTCCACACAGATGTCTGGTATCCGGCACCTTCGTCACTCCCGACACCGGCGCCAGTTTCGACAGCAGAAGAGGTCCTTTTGTCTAAGATGGCGCCTGTGTGTAAATTGATAGAATCAACTTGATAACTTCATTTCATTAAGTAAACATTAATCACATTAACCTTTCGACCCACTCCCAATGAAACCAACTCCAGCGAATGAGCTGCGAAAATTAACCCGAAAATGTCGAAACCTTCACCCCCGAAAAGCTGCCTCCGCTCGCCCATTACCCCTTTATAAACATTAGTGCTGTTGTAAAGGTTTAATAAGAAAAGCCGCCTGTGCGTCACACAGCCACACACACACACACACACACACCCACGAACACATTCTTAGAAACACACTCAAGTACAACCTTTCAACCACAAAGGCAAAAGTCATCTAAGAAAATGTCAACGAGCTAATACAAACCTTGAGTAGATCTTCCTGCCTGTGTGCGAGAGAGTGTGAGTGAGTTTGTGTCCTTGTGCGTGTGTTTCCTTCCCTGAGGTCAAGACGCATAAGAGTTATTACTTAATTTAAGTTGCCCCGCAACATGACAGATGCCCCAAAAAAGAATTTATTATGTTGCAAATTTCATAAAATGCGAAATACATTTTCAAACATTTCCAAACATCTGCATATTTCAATTTTAAGCCAATTTGCATAAATTGTATACGTATGTCTGTGCACACTATGCTGTATATCTATCAGAGCGTTTTATTCATGAAAAGGGTTTTTTTTTCGATTGCCGAACTGGCTGTCTGACAACTAGTGTACAGTCCTCTGACTCCGACTGGCTCACTGTTTTGGTCTGGGTCTGTCAGTGATTGTGATTCTGATTATTTCGGGTTTGGCCTTTTGAGCGTTGGTGGCATCTACAAAAATTATTAAAACTGACAGGCGCCTGAATGATGGCTACGTGTGGGTAACTGACCACAGCAACAACACCAGCAACAACAATTGGAACAGCATGAAACCTGAGAAATGCTTCTGAAATAAATCAGAAAGTTTTTTCATTAGTTCGCCGTTCGAGTGATTTGGCAATTAAGTGGCCAAAGTTGTATGCAAAAAGTTCTATCCAG